AAACATTATAACAAGATAACAAAACAATAAAACACAACTTAACTATTAAATATACGAAAAATATAGGAATAAAATTTAGGATAACCGGTATAAAATAACGAAAGAAAGTAATAATGATCAAAAGAATGCCACCGCCACTGGATATTTCAATAGTATTCAATATTTCCACTCTTTTCAGAAGTGACCGTGAAGTTGGGGATAAGGCTAGCGAATAGGAAAGGCGTAAAAGCCATGGCAACCGCGTGGTAACAAATCCTGTGACGTACTCTCGCCAATCATGTTCGATGAATAGGCGGCCATGCGCGGCGATGCCGGTTTGTCAATGATGTCCTTGATACATCTTCACCTTTCGTAGTAAGCAGATTATACAGAATGAAAGAAATAAGTTATTAAATAAAACATATCCAACAATATGAACTACGTTAAAATTCCTTAGTAATATACGTCAGAATATATGTTAAACACATTATATATAATAAAAATATATTAAATTTATAGTTCATGTCTGGCAATTTTGTAATTTTATAGATAAACGTGGCAATATCGATTTTTTTTTCTCGCATTCCTTCCATAGCTTCAGATCCGCTGGTCAAACAGTACATATACAGCGTCGGCTACCTCTCGCATGTACTTGTGATGTGTGTCATCAGTGTTTCACAAGTACACAGGACCTACAGTTTATCACCGAATCCGAACGGCACTATTTGAGAGGCTGTACAAGGCAAATATACTCAAGGTGGTTTGCCATTGCCTTCCTTGAGATGGCGTTTTTGGTCACTTCCTGTTTCACCGGAAATTACTACAACTTTTGATTTTTAAATAGCATCCTTGGTATATTTAAAATGACGCTTTGAATAGAGTGACAACTTTTGACATATAATTTATTTGAAATTGTAACATGCAGTTCATAACGGCGAACAATTTGTAACAATTTGACTCGAAATACCAAGTCTGATAGTCACCAATTAAACATATATATTATTCGTTTCCTGCCTGTGTACTTAATTTTAGTTTTTAGTTTTATTTACTTTATTTATTGTTTTTTTTAATTTTAGTTTTATTTTATTTATAATAATAGATTACTATACAGATATTTTTTCTAGTAATAGATTACTATAGTCTGTCCAAACAAACAGAGAAGGCTTCGAGAGATGACTGACAGAAACTACCGTATGATCGAATAAAAACGGCGTCAGCGATGGCTATGAAATGAAAATCGATGACATTTCCCATATAAATTTACATATAAAATGACAGCGATCTTCATTTCATAGCCATCGCTGACGCCGTTTTTATTCGATCATACGGTACAATTTACCTGTAAATGAAAATGACAGACACAACTGTTACTCTCGGAGATCCTACCAAATTTAATCTTTTATAAAATATTTTCGCGATTTTATGTAAACACAATTATACGATTTTATTGTCAAACATTTATACAGAGCAGAAGTAAATTAAACCTTTTTCAGCATAAATTTATTCTTTTACATTCTGTTAGAAAAGGTAGAAATCTAAGCTTTCAAAAGATGCTACTTTGATAGAAACTATATAGGTAACAAGAAATAGCCATCTTATCTGATAGACAGTCATCATTCGATGTTGGTCATCGATTCGATGTTGGTCAAAGAATCCCCAGAGAAGCTGAACAAATTATGTAAAAGATAGAACCGGAGAGAGACCAAGAGATAGAAGGTAATAAGAAAGCAAACCATCTAGCTAGAAAAAGAATGAACACTCCACTATCTGAACCAGACCGTTCTCCTTCCCAAGTGGAAACCAACTCAAAGCGGAGCACAAGAACCTGGAAGATTCCATCCCTAATCTGGATTGAAAATCCTCCAACGGACTAAGACGAAGAATCATCTTGGTTCTTGTCATCGGATTGTTACGGTGCCGGCGCGGCGCGATGATTTAATAGGACACTGTCTGCCCAATGAACACATCTGTAGATTGAAGCTAAGAAACAACGGCGAATGCGGATTCTGTGGGGAAAATGGGGAAACACCATAACACCTCATCACTGAGTGCACCGAGATGACACCCATTCGTTCCATGAACTTTAGTACGATTGATATCGGAGATAGAGAACTACCCTCTGTAAAACCGTCTCAGATATTGGCTCTTGTCAAAACCCTGAGGCTGTATGATGAATTATAACTCAAAAATGGGGGACACTATTGATCTACCACATTGATCGAAAAAAACGACGTCCTTGAAATGACAAACGATGACATTCCCCATATAATTTTATAGAGGGTGGTCCGAACTGTATTCCGGAAACTTCGGCAGCATATTCTGCATATAAAAAATAAGTAAAAAAGTTCGTGTAAATGTATGCCTTAAAATGCTTAGTTTCAGAGGTACAGGGTGTAGAAGTTTCATTTTTATTTCGATTTTTTCTAAATAATTTCTGAAGTAACCTCAATATTTGAATGAAAATTGGTGTCTGAGAGTTTTTTGACATGAGAAATTTGATTTTGATGTCAATATCACTCCTACTAGTAGAGGGCGCCACCTACATATGTTTTAACTGGTTTGAAGAGTAATAACTTTTCGTTCGTACCTGCATAAAACTAATGAGTAAAAAAATATACATTTTCGACGTGTTTTACGTGAGAAAGGTGTCTTGGTAAAAATCGCTACGAGTAATGGTTTTCGAGATATTTGGAATCGAAATTATCAATACCTGTCATCATTTTTGACCGTACCTGTATAAAACTACCGAGCGAAAAAATATACATCTCAGTGACTTTCTACGTAAAAAATATCTCTTTGTAAAAATCGCTACGAGCAACCGTTCTCAAGATATTTAGAACGGAAATAGTCAATACATGTCATTATTGACGAAAAATAAACAAAAGTTGAGTTGATAGTTATTTCATTGAAATAATAAATTTGGGAAATTTTTATTTTTTTTTTAATTAATTATAATTTTTTCTGCAAAAAAAGATAAAACAGTTTCTGTTGAACTTTTGGCACATAAACATTTCAAATTTATGATTTCGGTCTAATAACTATTTAGTCAACATGTTTAATTTATGTAATAATGACAGGTATTGATAATTTCGATTCCAAATATCTCGAAAACCAATACCCGTAGCGATTTTTAACAAGAGACCTTTTTCACGTAGAAAATGTCGTAAATGTATATTTTTTTACACAGTAGTTTTATACAGGTACGGACGAAAAGTTATTACTCTTCAAACCAATTAAAAAATATGTAGGTGGCGCCCTCTACTAGTAGTAGTCATATTGACATCAAAATCAAATTTCTCATATCAAAAAACTCCCAGACACCAATTTACGTCTAAATATTGACGTTACTTCAGAAATTATTTGGAAAAAATTGAAATAAAAATGAAATTTCTACACCCTGTATCTCCGAAACTAAGCATTTTAGGACATACATTTATACGAACTTTTTTACTTATTTTTATCTGCACAATATGCTGCCGAAGTTTCCGGATACAGGGTGGCGCACCTCATTCGCCTCGGTTGATTATACGAAAACGGAAAAATGTAGAAACAAAATATTTTATCGGTATATGTGGGGAGGCAATGTGCACAGTTTAAAATTATTTTGAAGTGTACAGGGTGTTTCAGAACTAAGATCCATACCAAAGTTATATTTTTTCTTATGGAACACCCGGTATTTTATTTCATTTTTGGATTCTTGGGCTCAAAAAAAGGTATTTATTATAAGGGTTAAATATGTTTAAAATCTTTGGTTTTTGAGTGGCAGAAATGGTATGGAATCGAGAAAAAACCTGAAGACTGGGACTGGAAACTGGGCAGCAATGGGCTTTTTCCACTGACCATGACAAAACAAGCACCACCACAACTTATTGAAATTCATTTCATGCACTTGTAGAATAGGATGCGGCGCAGCATGTGGTTGCAGGAAAGCTGGGTTGAAGTGTTCCGTTGTATGTGGCTTCTGCAGTGGTCGGTCAGTCATGCAAAAATGTCCCGGAGGTTCACATCGACATTGAGGACGAAGATGACCAAGACTTAACAATGGAAGAGCAATATATTCCCATGAGCACCGATTACGATGACTCCGAAGACAATACTCAAAACGTTATTAATAACCGACCCGGACCATCGAAGTAAAGAAAACGCTAATAAATCGCCACAATACCTTATTTTCAGCTTTTTTTATGTTGTGCGTTATATTTCAGTGAGACATATGAAGGTTATTTTTATTAATATTTATAGTTATTAATATTTTTTTCGCTCCGTGGCACTGTGGTACTACCTCACCAGCCGCTGCTCTTTATACCTATGTAAAAAATAGCGAGAATTTCGGAAAAATTACAAAATTAGCGAGTTTTTCTATTTTTTTGGAAAATATATTCAACTTTTCGTCACTGTACCTTCTATCCAAGATGGCGGCTCGAGCGGTCCCACCCCAAGGTCGAAAACTTTTTTCCAAACCTTAACAACATATAAAAAATTTACTACTACACCACCTTTTGTATGGCAAAAAACACCACACTGACTGGACTATAAAGACTATTTCTAAAAGTCGTCTATTTCAAAACCATAGAGTTAAAATAAAATAATTAATTTTAAGTCTTTGTTCAAAACAGAAACCTACCTACATCGTGGTAAGAAATTATTATCGATCGTTATTTCAAAAGCCACTATAACACCTTTTCTCGATAATATTGTATTTTATAAAACGATATTCAAAAGTATCAGAAACTGTAAGTACATAAAACAGAAGAACATAATTGTTGAACAATAATTGTGTCAAAAGATTCATATTCATAATAACCGAGTCAACAAATATGCCAGACTGAAATCACAAAGTTAAATCAATTTTCGTGTCTTTTAGTACTATTTAAGTCCTACTAGGTGTAATAATTTTCTAGAAACAGATTTAATTTGTTTAAAGTTGTACAAAAACTCACTAAATAAATTATTTTCAAGCGTCTACTTTCCTCCATTTCAGCGTTTCAACAAGACAAATTAAATATTGATTTAGCTCTTACCTTCAACATCAGACTCTGGGTTATAGCGAAAAAATTCATGCCTGTTAACACCATCTGATGTTTTGACGCGTGTGTTATAAATCTCTCTATCTGAAACACGAAAAAAAAAAGCAGTTACAGGTTTAGAACTGACTGGAAGGGAAAAGTTAAATATATTACTATTCGCTTCGTCGACACTATCGTTATCGATGAATCTTTAAAATAAATTGAGTCGATTTGTAACGAGAATAAATCATTTCATATATCGCTAAGAAAATTGAACGCGTAGGTATAATTGACATATAAGGAAAATAGGTAGGCAGTTTGATATCCAAGATGTAATAAATCTATATACTTCGCTTAGTGACATTTAAGAATTGGAAATAAATAATCTAAATACAAAACAGTTTAATTTATTAAGATGTCAATGGACTTTTGAAGATAAATTTCAAATAGAAATTCAATGGAGCGACAAATCAGACTAACAAGCAATTAATTTCAGCCGAAAAAATATTTATATATCTGTATAGCGGATATAAATGGTTTGCTAACATTTAGGTATTAAAAGAAAATTAATTTTATTAATTTTTGTTAAATATACATTCATCAAGTTGAGTTTTTTTATTCTGTCTCTTCCAAAAAGACTTTTGGGTATTTCGCCACTAGAAGAAAAATCCACAAAATAAAATAATTATTTTTTTGCGCTGATATTTTTAATACCGTAAGAAGACCGCTGTTATTTTGTATGTAAAATTATATGGGGAACGTAAACGATGTTCATTTCCAAGCCAACGATAAGGTAGAATAATTAAAATTATTTTATTAATACTACATAACATTTTGTCTATGTTGTGGAATTTGCGTTGATGAAACAAATTTATCAGCGGTATTTTACTAATAAAACTAAATTTACTAAAAAAACAGAAAGAACAAGAAAAAAACTGTTCAAAATAAAAAAAATTAAATACAACTATGCGAGAACATTTTAGTATTATTTAGATGATACGTCTATATAAACTGTTGGACGTTCAAGCATTATTAAAATAGGGGTGTGTGAAGTTCAACCTCAAAATTAACAATTATTAATACCTGATAACCATTTTTTACTTAATGAGGTAACACTAAAAAGCTTCAAACTTTTCTATATAGTTATTTTGTTTGTTTTTAAATTGGTTTATAGAAATGAAAGAAGCGATGGCTTTACATTACTAACCTCTACAGATACCTGCGCAATACATTGATTTATATTTAGAATGGATTAAAAAAGCCCCTTTTGTTTTTCGTTTAGAGGCTATCGGTTCTTTCAGCATATTTTTTGCGTTGTTAAAACCTACTCTGTGCCCTGTGACCCATGAGTGCTGACAAATCTTAGATTTTCAAAATTCGCCCTCTTTAAATAATATTTATATTTCTTCAAAAAAATCTTCCGGGTATTAAAAAAAGTATTGGTTTCCGTTAGATCAACGCAGCGGTGTTTACAAAAAAAAAATATTTTATTTTGTAGATTTTCTTACAGCGGCGTAATACCCAGAAGAATTTTTTTGAAAAAATAAATCCGCCACAAATATATAAACATTATGTTTAATCCTTTTTTTTTGTAATTTGAAGATTACCATATTTATATAGCAAATTAGGTAGAGACCTCATATAGGATATACCTAGCATAGTTTTGATTTCTGAACTTATCTTATATTTTTAAGATTTTTTTAAAAGCCGAAAAATGCATATCCTTTTATTTATTTAATAGTACCTACGAAACTAACAAAATATATTTAACAATACCGGGTGCCTTTCAAAAGTGGCTTACCCCTATAACTTCTTTTATTTTCTCAGAAAAAAACAAGACTTGGTATGTGTACAGCAGATGACACAAATTAAGACTAATTGACGTTTCAATTGTTTTTGGTCAGTTCCTGCTTCACCGAAAATGACTTCAAGTTTTGATTTTTAAACGGCACCCTCGGTATATTTTTACTTTATTTGATAGAAAATGACACTGTGAATAGAATGCTATAGGTATCATGTCAACTTTTGACATTTTCGCTTTAAAACACATGGTATTTAAAATTTCAATCTAGAGTGCCATGGCCTCTTAAAAATACTAATTTTTAATCAAGAAGCATTGGAAAAATTGGTTTGATCATCTAATGTTTTTCGTGTCTTGTCCTGGTCGGTTAAAATATGCCCAAATCGTATTTTTTATCATATCTCAATTTTTACAAATGGAACAAGTGTGGCTCAGTAGCATATTTGGAAAAAGCATTTTTATACAAATAATTTGGTACCACACACTTGGTATTTCGAGCCAAATTGTCGTTATAAACCGCATGTTACAATTTCAAATAAACCATATGCAAAAATGTCAAAAGTTGACATATAATATGTCATTCCATTCAGAGTGTCATTTTCTATCGAATAAAGTAAACATTTAAAAATCAAAAGTTGTAGTTATTTCCGGTGAAACATGACCAAAAGGTGACCAAAAACAATTGAATATACGTCAATTAATCCTAATTTATGTGATGCATTCACATACGAAATCTCGTGTTTTTGTATGTCTGTATCTAAAACAGTTATAGGAGCGAGCCACTTTTCAGACGCACCCGGTATATTTCTTAATATACCGGGTGCGTCTGAAAATTATTATAAATTACATTATCTTTAATGTAAAATGATCAGAAATTAAGCCAAAAATGCAATTAATTATATACAGGGTATTCCATTTGAAAAATCATTCCGATCCACTCACACTTCTTTGTGTCACCTTGTAGAAGTCAAAATAATTTTTGTGAAATACATTCTAGAAAACATATACTTTAGATTTGCACTTAAACGAAATTCTTAAGTTTTTATTATACTCGTAGAAGCTACACATGCCTAACGCAGTATTGCAGTATATGTGAATTTAAGAATTTCAGTTAGCTAAGAATGTCTGTCAAATTTTGCTGGTATAAGTTTTATGTGTTATATATAGTACGAGAGCTAGCAACGTCGGAAAAAAAAGTATTTTAAGACGTCTGGCTCTTTGATATATCTTTTACTATGCTTTCTAGAACAGCATGCGGCCCGTCTGGCTGCCGGTAAACGTTGCGTTCCCTACTGCGCATTGAAAGATCCTATATTTTTATTAGTCCTTTAAATTCTAGTATTGAATATAAATCGAACATGTCTCCATAGCGCAGTGCGTAGAGTTTCCGACCACGAACCGATGATTCAGAGTTCGAATCCGGGTCAGGGCAAACACTTTTTTATTTTATTTTCGTTTATATTCTGATAGTAAAGTATTAAATATTTGTTTTTTTTTATTACCAGAATTATTTAATATTTTTTTTATTTGTATCAGAATATAAACGAAATTAAAATAAAAAAGTCTTTGCCCTAACCCGGATTCGAACTCTGAATCATCGGTTCGTGGTCGAAAACTCTACGCACTGCGCTATGGAGACATGTTCGATTTATATTATAATACTAGAATTTATAGGACTAAATTAATAAAAAAAATATAGGATCTTCCTATGAGCAGTAGTGAACGTAACGGGTATCAGCAGCCAGACGGGCCGCATGCTCTTCCAGAGAGCATAGTAAAAGATATATCAAAGAGCCAGACGTCTTAAAATACTTTCTCGAAAACGTTGCTAGCTCTTAGACTAATATGTTACTAATTTAATCTATAATCTATTCTTAACATTTAATAATGTGATAATGTCACCCAACTTGTTTAAAAACCTAACATTATGATATCAATCAACGTCCACAAGCGCAAGAAAATCCTTGATATAGATTTCAGATGCTTGAAGCTATTTTCTCGATTTAGCACAAACGTTTATTTTTGTAATTCATAGCAAAATGATAAATAAATTAAATAATATTACTGCAGTAAATGTCGTATTATGTTAATTACGCTAACTAGTAGGTATATTTTTTCAATCTTGTTGAAATTTAATTGACGTTTAAGTTTTACTCCTCATGGGGTATTAATTTTGAAAAAAACTATGGGTTAAAAACAAAAAATAAAGACTTTAATTCTACAATCCGTCCCGTAAGACGAGTGTACATTTCGACTGACGTCATCCAAAAATGGCAAAAAATAGTTTACTCTATTACTTTTTCGAATTAAAATTATAGACAAAAAAATTGTAGATTATATGGGAGGGGGGTCACAGGTGCCATGAGAACATGTCCAACAGCAGCAATGGAGGTCATTCTAGACCTAACACCACTGCACATTGTCGTCGGTAGTTATGCCAATGCGACAATGATTAGAATGGTTACTGACGGAAACAGTACTGGGAGAATTTTCAGGTCAGGGGCTTGGGACACCATCAAAAAGAAAATTCCATTTCTCCAATTCCCAGTGGATGACATACCAAGAATTTACAACTTTGAGAAAGACCTCACTGTAGTATTGAGTAATAAAAAGGATTGGAAGAAAGAAACGCTTACTCAGCATATAAAAGACCATACCATCACGTGGTATACTGATGCTTCCAAAACCAAAGCAGGGACAGGGATAGGAGTATTTGGGCCGAAAACTGAATACTCCGAACCAATGGGCACCTACCCCAGTATCCTTCAAGTAGAAATTTGCGCTATCGAAAGATGCGTACAATTTATCTTAGATAGGAACTATCGAAAACAGGAAATTGCCATCCTATCCGATAGTCAAGCAGCACTTAACGCGATCAACTCAGTAACCATCAATTCGAAGTTGGTCAAAGAATGCCTAGAGAAGCTCAACAAATTAGGCAAAGAAAATAAAGTCCTCCTACTCTGGGTGCCTGCTCACCAAGGGATAGAAGGCAATGAAAAAGCAAATGATCTAGCTAGAAAAGGAGCGAACACTCCACTAACTGGACCAGAACCGTTCTGTTTTCCAAACGGGAACCAACTGAAAGCGGAACTGAATAATCTGGAAGACTCCATCCGTAACTTGGAATGGGTGTCCTCCAACGGTCTAAGATACTCGAAAAAGTTCCTTAGAACTTATGACCGAGGAGAAAAATCAAAGGCTTTCATTGATTTAAGTAAAAACAATCTTCGGATTGTCACGGGGTTTCTAACAAGACACTGTCTCCTCAACGAACACCTCAGTAGGCTGAAACTGACAAACA